GACAATGATATATTCGGTTTTTAACCAATAAAATGTTATGCTTTCCTGATGATTTCTACTTGTCAATAGTAGCATAATGAAACGTGACTGATACCAACACAAACTAATCAATCGGAGAATATTTTTAGATTTTGCTTGAAATAAACACCCACGTATCTATTTCTCTGTCACTAAATGTTCCTCTCTTGTAAAAGTGCGCAAAAATGAGGTTTTTTGTTTTTATAAACACCATCAATATTTTATAAAATGTCACCGATATCAATCATAGTGTTATGTGTTTCAAGTTGATGATGCTTGTTCAAATGATTCACTAATTTAACTCATTCACCCCTGAAGACACATTTGAACTCCTCCAATTCAATGGTTGGAATAGTTCATTATGAAATTTCAGGGATTTCACTTCTAATGACAAGTTCCTAGCACTTCACGTTAAATGTATTGTTAAATATATCATTCAAATATTTTCGAATACATACACTTTACAAAAAGTATAATGAAAATCATTCATCAATGATTGCTATTCATGCTTGGCATTTATGTAATAAAATAAATAAGTTTAGACTTAAAAGTTTAAATCCTATTTTGAAGTACATTATAATTACGTGTAATAACTTAAAACCTGGAGAAGGAAGTGTTTCAGCCAGGGAAATTCTCTGTCAATAATTCTTTTTTAACACATTCTCCCACGGTCAATATTGCCGTTCACATGTAAGCTGTACATGTATGCTGATACTTACTGTCATCATAATTTGTCCTTATTACGGAGGACAAAAAACAGCAAAAGTTAAACTACAGCAAACCCTTCCTGGTCTTAACTCTAAGTTTAATGAAGTAATCTACATCCTGAAAAAGTTCTTTAAAAATGACAATTTGTTTCTAATTTGGAAAAATACCTAGGGCATTCATTCATTTCAAAGCCAAATGTTTCTGTACTTCAGTACATCATGTTTTTTTCAAATTCAAATGGTGTTTGGCATACTTTATTAACTTTAAACTACATTTAAGTGTCATATTTCTGGGACTCATAGTAAAGTCAAAACATTAGTCTACTTCACTAGCCCAAGCTTAAAGTTATAATTGTGGTGTGCTTGCTCTAACATTCCAACTTTTGAATTTATCATAGGCGTGTCACAGGTCTCATTGTTTGTGTACCACAATACTTAAAACATGTATATATATATATATATATATATAGGAAGACATTGAATTGGAGTTGTGTGCCACACCCCTGTAGAAAATACAGAACATAAAAATAATCCCACAGATCCAAATGTATTCCAAAAATAATATTTTCTATCTATAAATAAATCTTATTTGACTTGTAAACATTTACGTAGATCACTTTTACTCCTTATATTTACCTGATGTGTCCTTTTGAACTCAGTTCGCGTGACACATACTTCAATAGACTTTAAAATATTGTAATCATCACCAACATTAAAGTAAGAGCCAAAGGTTGACAAGGAAAGTGTCTACTGTATTTTACACCTGTTGTCCTCGTTAAGGTGATACAGGTGACACACCATGCACAGGTAACCAAGCGTAGACGTTGACCTACATTTTGACCTTTAATGCTCTTACAACAAGCTTAACACTACAAAGACTTAAGGACTATGTCTCAGCTCTTAAAATGTTTCTAGAAATAGATGTACTATATGTAAATTGATTATTAAATATACATATTTACTTTTCAATATTTGCTGATTATTTTTTTTAACACATATTACGCTATTGAAGTTAACTGTGCAAATTAAAAGAAATAGGTGAAGGTGTTAATACTTGTTTGGTACTTGACAAGCTTAAGAGGCTATTAAACTCACAGAATGTACATACTTAGAGTTTATATTTACATTTCTATAATCATAATAGCTCCTCCACCGTTGCACACCTGGTTGGACCTTACTTATAAAAACATTGAATGAAAAAGTAGAATTTTTTTCAAATCAGTTGACAATATACCAGGGCAGTCACAAGGAATTTACAACAGATTGTTATATCATGTTCATCCGTATTTACGTCTATTTGTACACCAAGGAGTTAAAAGTGATACATGAAATGTTGAAAATTTCAAAAGTTCATGTCCAAATCTCTCCCCTGGATTTCAGAATAACAACATCAATGTGATCAGGAAATATAACCAGGGACATTTTTTGAGCACACAGTTTTGTCAGCATATCAGAATGGACAAGGTTTTAACTATTGACCTGAGACTGTTGCGTTTGGAAACACATATCTCAACACACTTTCAAGAGAATGAACTGACCTATCAGTACCAGTCTGTGGATAATATCTAAGTATAAGGTCAAGGTCATATTTTCCTTAAGGACATATTTATTGGTAACAGATCAGAGGTATATCTGATCGTCACATTAAATAATTGAAGAGATTCCTATTAAGAATTTGTCAGATCGTCACTAAATTACAGACATGTTTCAAGGTGAGGGGGAGGTCAACGAAACATACATTGTTATTTACAGGTATCGTGTGTCATTTAACCATTTGTCAACAAACGTAATTCTACCCCTTCCATGTCATATGTACACCATGAAAGTTATTGATTTTGCAATAGACGCTGTCATCACTATTAATTATCTCAATCAACGTCAGACATAACAGCTGTTTCGTCCACGTCCTGGATGTGACCCCGAAAAACATGACCCTTGGGGTTATACAAACCCATGAAATCGGATACAAATTGTCTGAGGATGAATGAGAGTATGAATTACATTAATTATGAATACGTTTCCAGCTACATTACCGTCATCAATGTCTCAATTAGTGTTCAAATGTACTGAACCTGAAGACTTGGCATGAACACATGTGTCTATTTCCATTAAAATCATGTACACAAAATGATGCTGACACTGATCATCATCCAGCACAGCTGATCAGTAGGACGTGGGAGAGTGAGGTAACTGTCCTGGGAGTTCTGTGCATGTGTATGCCATCAAAACCATACAATGGAAATGTCGAAGATACATATAAAGAACATATCTGACTCGTCCCTTTTATACTTTTGGCTAAGCAGGAAGTAAAGTCAGTCTGTGTACACAGTCACAGAACTGTCTCGACAGAGTCATGTCTGCCAATTCCCAGATTTCATGATTTATTGAAATTGGAAATGAAAATATATATCAATTGCATCGTGTTGTAGATTCTTAGGAATTGTGTGAAGGTCTTGAGGACGACTAGTAGTGCATTGTTCTTTCAAACGGAAACATTTATTCAAAATTTATATCTTTATCCAAAAATAACCACATAAATTTTATCTTTTTTGAATTTTTATGACTGTGTTGATCTTTTTTTGAGATAGCCAAAACTAATTTACAGACAAGTTGTTATACAACGTGTAACTAATTTAGAAGTTATATAATCTTTTTTGTCTTTTCCTTAGAGACTTAAAATATTATATTCTGATGCATCAAATATTTGACAGGAATTTACCAGAATTGTCTGCACCCATTGACTTTTAATTGATCCTTCCATTTGCTTGTTTAATGTAATTTTAAGCCACTGAAAATATTTCTGAAATACATTATACCATGCATAGCCAAATTCAGCTTAAAATCTGAAGATAACCGTCTCTTGTGTCAATCATATACAATCAATCTGCAATGTGAGTTAAATCTAAATACAGGACAGGAAGACGATAAGGTAACAGGAAGAAAGTTAAAATTACAAAAATCAATGAAAATAATTGATCAGTAGATAAGCATGTTTACAACAGAGGTTTCACAATGTCCTCTTACAGTATACCTACCAGGTACAGTGTTATAATTATACGTGACACAGAAATGTCCTCAATATTACCTACCAGGTACAGTGTTATAATTATATGTGATACAGAAATGTTCTCAATGTTACCTACCAGGTACAGTCTTATAATTATACGTTAAACAGAAATATCATTATCGTATATATCCTGTAATAAGCCCAGGGGGTCTAACACATAATCTCTGGCTCAAAGAAGAAGGGTGGGCTTATTACAGGACAATGCAAAAGATTTTTTTGGCATTTTTACTGAATTTCAAACCTGGGCTTATTACCAGGCATGGGCTTATTAACAGAACACATCATCATATTATAGTTACAGCTTATGATACAGTAAATCTTACACTTGTGTCAGATTTCAGACAAATGTATGGTGTCATATAGTTCCAGTTACAGTTAATCAACACTTATGTTTGTACTCAGGCCTGTAATGTGGCATAGTACAGACAGTGAATATCACATAGTACAGACAGTGAATATCGCATAGTACAGACAGTGAATATCGCATAGTACAGACAGTTAATATCGCATAGGACAGATACAGTAAATTAACACTTATGTTTGTACTCGGGCATGTGTCATCGCATAGGACAGATGTATTCAGGTTTGTGACAACGCGTAGGACAGATACAGTAAATTAACACTTATGTTCGTACATAGGCCTGTGACATCGCATAGGACAGATGTACTCAGGTTTGTGACAACGCGTAGGACCAGAAATAATAAATTAACACTTATGTTCGTACATAGGCCTGTGACATCGCATAGGACAGATGTATTCAGGTTTGTGACAACGCGTAGGACCAGAAATAATAAATTAACACTTATGTTCGTACATAGGCCTCTGACATCGCGTAGGACCAGATATTGTAAATCAACACTTATGTTCGAACAGATACAGTAAATCAACTCTTATGTTCGTACTTTAGGCCTGTGATGTTGCATAGCACCAGGAACAGTAAATATTCACTTACGTGAGTACATCAAACATTTACATGCATCAACAATATCAGCCAACACCAAGGTACTGCTATCTCAATATATAGTGCTAGTTTTATCACACTCCAAACCTATAATGTATATCTGATCATCTACACAAAGATATTAACATTTAACCTGATGCTTATTACAGATACTGGATCTGATGCTGATGACATTTTCATAAAAGTCAGTCATTACCAGCTTGTCCCTGGAGATTCTACAGCCTTACAGGAATCTCTAATAGATTGTCACCAGCACACATACACTGCATCAGTCACAGCATCAGTAGCTAGGTACACCGCCTCAGTCAAAGCATCAGTAGCTAGGTACACCGCCTCAGTCACAGCATCTGTAGCTAGGTACACTGCCTCAGTCACAGCATCTGTAGCTAGGAACACTGCCTCAGTCACAGCATCTGTAGCTAGGTACACAGCATCAGTGACAGCATCTGTAGCTAGGTACACCGCCTCAGTGACAGCACCTGTAGCTAGGTACACCGCCTCAGTGACAGCATCTGTAGCTAGGTCCACCGCCTCAGTGACAGCATCAGTAGCTAGGTACACAGCCTCAGCGACAGCATCTGTAGCTCGGTACACTGCCTCAGTCACAGCATCTGTAGCTAGGAACACTGCCTCAGTCACAGCATCTGTAGCTAGGTACACAGCATCAGTGACAGCATCTGTAGCTAGGTACACCGCCTCAGTGACAGCATCTGTAGCTAGGTACACCGCCTCAGTGACAGCATCTGTAGCTAGGTCCACCGCCTCAGTGACAGCATCAGTAGCTAGGTACACAGCCTCAGCGACAGCATCTGTAGCTCGGTACACTGCCTCAGTGACAGCATCTGTAGCTAGATACACTGCCACAGTCACAGCATCTGTAGCTAGATACACTGCCTTAGTGACAGCATCTGTAGCTAGGTACACTGCCTCAGGGACAGCATCTGTAGCTAGATACACTGCCTCAGTGACAGCATCTGTAGCTAGATACACTGCCACAGTCACAGCATCTGTAGCTAGATACACTGCCTTAGTGACAGCATCTGTAGCTAGGTACACAGCCTCAGTCACAGCATCAGTAGCTAGGTACACCGCCTCAGTCACAGCATCTGTAGCTAGGGACACAGCCTCAGTGACAGCATCTGTAGCTAGGTACACTGCCTCATTGACAGCATCTGTAGCTAGATACACTGCCTCAGACACCGCCTCAGTCACAGCATCTGAAGCTAGGTACACTGCCTCAGTGACAGCATCTGTAGCTCGGTACACTGCCTCAGTCACAGCATCTGTAGCTAGATACACTGCCTTAGTGACAGCATCTGTAGCTAGGTACACTGCCTCAGGGACAGCATCTGTAGCTAGATACACTGCCTCAGTCACAGCATCTGTAGCTAGATACACTGCCTCAGACACCGCCTCAGTCACAGCATCTGAAGCTAGGTACACTGCCTCAGTGACAGCATCTGTAGCTAGATACACAGCCTAAGTGACAGCATCTGTAGCTAGCTACACCGCCTCAGTGACAGCATCTGTAACTACACTGCCTCAGAGACAGCATCTGTAGCTAGATACACTGTCTCAGTCACAGCATCTGTAGCTAGATACACTGCCTCAGACCCCGCCTCAGTCACAGCATCTGAAGCTAGGTACACTGCCTCAGTGCCAGCATCTGTAGCTAGATACACTGCCTCAGAAGTCACAGCATCTGTAGCTAGGTACACTGCCTTAGCGACAGCATCTGTAGCTAGGTACACTGCCTTAGCGACAGCATCTGTAGCTAGGTACACCGCCTCAGTGACAGCATCTGTAGCTTGGTACACCGCCTCAGTGACAGCCTCAGTGACAGCCTCAGTGACACTAGGCTCCTGACACAGCTTACTTGCTAACATGTACCCATCACCAAGACATGTTTATGATCAGCAATTTAAAGCTCCAACATATACCTAGAGTACTAGTGCACCCTGTGTAGTCTCCCATGATACCTTGATGCTTATAACGCATGCTGCAGCAATAAGCAGAGTTCTGTTAAAATTTACAGCTTGAAATAAAAGTATGTATGTCACCTTATATTTATTCTGTTCAAATAAACTGCAACCCTATAAATGACAGTATGCAGTCAAAATCCAACAACGCCTTTCAAGGAGAATGTTACATTAGGTACTTATAAGTTTTCTTCGGCAGTTTATAAGGACAAAACAGTGTCTAATTCTAAGTCACCGCTACATACGGAATGACATAGAACACAGGTTGTCTGTCAAGACAGGTTTTCTCATGACATAAAGTATGTATCCCCAAATAAACCCAGGGGGTCAAAAACAGTCTTTGACTTAGAATAGGGAGTGGGCTTAATACAGGGCAAAAGAAATAGCAGTTATTGGCATTACTGCTGCATACTTGCCAACCTTTCAAAATTGCCATGGGGGAGATTCTGCATGCTCATAATAAAAACATACCAAAAGGTACATAAAATGTTTGTAAAAAATACCCCCTAAAGACAAAATAACCATTTTAAATAACATATTTTGAATTCTTCTTTCTAATAAAAGCATTAGCTCTTAGAATATAGGAATAGTTTAGCAATTCACTGGTTAGAAATATTAAATCTAACGGTCCAAAATCAGGAGTCATGTTGCTAAATGGGAAGACTTGTCTATATATATAGTATGCTATTGAAGTGAACTGCAATAGATATGGGTGGGCTTAGTTTTGCCAGATAAATATGATATGTTCTCTTAAGATAGGTTGTCTCTTCAAAAAGGTTGTCTTTACAGACAGTCTCACTCAAGTGTAAGGCTGTTTCTCATGAGTCAGAATGTCCCTTAAGCTAATACAGTAAATTTCTCTCTCAAGTTATCATCTTTCAGTACCAGTTTTGCATTGTAAAAGTGTTCTTTTTTTAAGACAGGTTGCAATTGTCTATCAAATCTGTCCGTCATGACAATGAGGACACATTGTCTGAGGAGAGATTATCTCCCAGTGCTTAGACACGCTCCTTTGTCTCCCAGGAAATGTTTACCTCATCATCATGCCAAGTAGCAATCTCTTGTGTCAGTTTACATATCACGATCAAACAACTTGTTTCCATTCTAGAATCTATGACAGGCTAAATCCCTCATGACAGCTATAGCCTTTTAGTATGAACAGCTGGTTGTCACAGCATGCCTTCTAATATGTTTTCAAGAAGATATTGTGTTCAAGACAGGTTCAGGAACTTGTTGGAAAGATACATTATTCCATACATAATTTAACTCATTCACCCCGGAAGACACATTTGAACTCTTCCAATTCAAAAGTTGGAATAGTATAAGAGTTCATTATAAGAGTTCAGGGGTGAATGTGTATATTTTCTATGATGACTGGTAATCAAAGCTACACTTGCTCTCAGTCTGGTTCTTACCTCTGAGGCCTCTAAATTTCTTTTAACTGATAATCTAATTAAGAAATTGACTGAAACAGAATGTTTTTGAATACATTTTTAGCAATTTATAAGTTCAAATGTTTCATTACTCAGCAGCCCTGATCTAACACATGATACACACACAGACTTGTCCTCAAACATTGGAGCACTAGGCCGACCGAGACAACCGAGACAGTACCACCGACACAACAGTCATGATCAGTGAGCCATATCAAATTCCACAAGGAATGTGTGAAAAAGATTGGATAAACTGCATGGCTGTTCAGCTGGACTAATGCCCAGATTTATCCCCTAGTGTACCGAAAGAATGGAGCAAAATAATTGCTGTTTAGGTAGACTAAAGATGAGCATCATTCAACCGCATCAACAAAATAAACACCTTCTCACTTCATGTCATAACAGAAAATATACAGCGCCACACTGCAATGGGTTGATTGTTCGAGCATGGACAGTCCTACTGGTTTATATAGTCTACATTTCTATTCCGTAAATCATCTAAACCTTAAAACCATTGTAGCATTGTTGCCAGGTAAACATTCAATCTTGAAATATCAATGCTTTGCTATTTTCTCTGCACGTAAAATACATACACGTATATAGATACCTGTAAACATACATTGAATTTTGAAATTATCTCTAAGTCTGAAGTTTAGCTGGATCTGCACTAAACATACATATTACCTCAACACATGTTTAATTTTGAAATTTTCTCTAAGTCTGACGCAAAACAGGAAGATTTGGTTTACCAAGAGAAGCTCAGTTAAAAAATGCCAACAATAATTATGTATGTTCTTACCTGCTGACTTATGTAAATGTTAATCAATAACAGGTAAAAAGCAATACTTTGTAAAAGGTCAACAGGTAAAAAACAATACATGGATAAGGTTGAGAAACAAGACTTACCTTAGTACTGGGCCTGAGTTTCCCAAGTAAAATGGAGAAATGTTGTGTATCCGTACATGTACCCAAATAATGTGATATGGCACAATAGGTCTTGAGCTAGGGTGTGATTTCTACCTGTGCAACCAGGACGTACATATCCAGACAGGCTTACAGGTAACCCTACGTTCTACCTGGGTGATTCTCGTGAAGTCTCACCAGTAGACAGAGAATGACGGAAGTGAAATACCTAGTATAGTCAACTAGGTAGGTCAGCGTTCATTGTAATCTCGCCTACACATTAGCTAGAGTATAGACTATGTGTATATGGGTAGGTACACTCGGTAATAACAGGTACCTTCTATTACATAGTGTAACACAGCACTTTGTTGTAGCCAAGCTTCAAAAGCTTAATGACATATAAAGTAAAATTTTCAAAATTGTTATTTTCAAAACCAGTTACAAAAATTTGAAGTTCACCATATTTCATTTAATGCAGTGATCATTTCAAATCCTAGCATGTATATAAAGAAATTGATAATAAAGAGATTATTTTGCCATTTTAAATTGTACCTTACCTATAGGTAATCATTAAGCTCACAATACTTATTAAACACAAGTCCAGTTGTGGTATGTCCAGCTTGTGTGTCGATTTATAATCGTAATAACTATAAGTTGTATTGATCTTTGAATTCAGTATGTTATAACTGGGTAATGTAATGTTACATAACTCTGAATCAATGTATACACTCATTATGACTTAAATTGTAATAAATTTAAAATGCCTTATATATATACACAATACAGGAGCTGCCATACTATATATAAACAGTAAGACAAAGGACTCTTTTATGTCAGCAAAGTATACGTATGCAAGCTTTGATTTCATGCATCCATTTGTGTAGGCAACTGTTAAACAAGAATGAGATCACTCATTGTACCAGGTAAGCAAAATTGTACCTCAAATTGTGGCAGATCCATACAGGCTCAGTCCTCAGCGCTCCCAAAGTCTTCACAACCATATATTTTTTTTATGAAAAAAGTACATTTTCTGGGCTGAATGATGTACATAATCTGCCTTAATGTGTGTTATAGACACCATTTATTGATTGATTAAAAAATCACTAATAGCACTGTTTACATCCAATCTATCGAATTGCACTTCATTAGCAAAACCCAAAATTGGGTGGTTGGGTGGTGCAGTGGATAGAACACTCTCCTTTCACCAAGAAGTCTGGGGTTTGATTCCCAAATTAAATGTACAAAGGTATTGGGTCACCTGCCAGAACATGTGGGGTTTTCTCCTTACCACCGGTTTCTTCCCACATAGAGACCTTCTACGCACCTTCATCCAGAACAACAAGAGTGATTTATATACAGTCGAACCTCATTATCTCAAACTCTTTTAACTCGAAGACCCCGTTTATCTCAAAGTATTTCTCCGGTCCCCGCCAAACCTCTTCTATATCTTAGTAAATACAACTCTGATAATTCGAACCCTGTAAAGTCGAATACTCGGATACCTCGAAGTAAGATATCGGTTTTGATAGCGTAAATCTAACATCAAAACATCGTCTACTGCATAGTGTTCAAATTTCATTTTGTCACTTATCAATTCTTTGATACAAATAAAACGCACGACATCTCGCCATTCCGTGTTTATGAACAGCTTTCGTGAGGAGACTAGCATGGGATCGGTAAAAAGAATTTACGATAAAGCTTCAGACTGGAAAGTGTGCGGACTGTCAAAACCATGTTGTTCATAATAAAAATCAAACTTCATCAATGTTGATCAACAGTATTCTGTACATACACCCAAACAGACGACAGCGTAAACCGGAAAATTGGTCACAAAGCGTGGTCAGGCATAAAAGAGTTCCACAGTTAAAATCACAACCTAGGATTGCTTCAAGGGTTCATGTTTTTACATGAGCTAGTATGGCTTTGAAAGTTGATCGAGAGACTTAAGAACAATAAGATAATTGCTGTTGATTACATCTAGTTGGGGATGTGTCTGGTGTCACATTTGGCTTTAATGAATCAATGTGTTACATGTACGATATAATCGTTTTTTGTGTATTTTCATTTACAGAATCAACTACGCGCACGCTCCATTACAGTGATTTGTTTTAGACTTGCGCACTTTCATTTCCACATTGTATAGTTCGATTTTTAAACGTACTTCAGAAGTAAAATTTGACGGACTTGCAAATACAAATGTATAGACCTGGAAAGACTTTGCCAAGATCTAGACTAGCCAAAAACAACAATTTTATAACTAGGCCCGTTCATATTTAAAAACGAATTCACAATATGTTCCAACCGCTTTTATGGCGTTAAACGAAAGTATGTTTTTCGGAAATAACTTACTCTATTTTGGTAAGTGAGTTTATTGTAAAATAACATACCTGTTATATTGATTACGCGTCTATCATTTATCCATTGATTATAAGCATTGGCTATCAATAAAATCAACAACTGCTAGTGCTATGTCCAAACAGCAAATTTCATACCAAATTTATGAACCCGCATAACTTGAATACTCAGATAACTCGAAGTTTTTCCACAACCCCGTCGACTTCAAGATAACGAGGTTCGACTGAAAGTTGGAAAAACTTATTTTCATAATTGTTGTAAAAGAAAGTTTTATACACTTGCACCAAATATGGCATATTAAATATTTCTTTAAAATTTAGTGGAAAACAATTATTCAAACTAACAAGATTCAGGCAACACAACTTAGCATGATAACATTCAGAGAAAAAATTTATCAGCAGGCCGTCCTATTATTAGTTACACTAATCGTAACGTCCTATCATCAACTGTACACTATATATAATCATAAGATAACAATCTACTCCATGATAAACATCTAAATTTAGAAAAAATTCAGGCACCTGAACATGGATGATAGTACATCTCTCCTTCTGTTCTTTATTTTCATTTCATATATCAAATATAACATGAAATTCCACATAGACAAGAAAAAACCTTTGCCAAGGGTTGTACACATGTACCGACATAAACAATATCCACAGTACAGGTACATTTAAGATTTAGGTCCAATAGGAAAATCCCTGGAACTGCAGCCAGGAGCCACATCAACCATGGACTCATTCACCCATCAAGTCTCATTTGAACCTTACCAAATCAAAGATTGGGCAAGTCCAGTTAAAATATGTAGGGGTGAATAGGTTCACACCAGTTAAAACAGGGTCAAGGTCACTTAGCATATGCATATGAATGCCACCATATTACAGACAGGAAACACCTCAATATTTCCTTGTAATCCTGGTGGCCTTTATAATCCCTAGGAAAGCCAAGTGATGGTAGTTCAATAGTTATAACTTCAAACAGTAATGTTTTTATGCAAGTGGAATAAATCAAATTGCCTGCTGTAATATTTACAGAAGAAAAATCACTTGGTGTATATTGACATAACGAAACTGCAGAAAATAATGATAAAAAGTTCCATCTCTCAAATTCAATGACTATTTTATTTGCTAATTTCTAACAAATGGTATTTGTACAGTTGAATGTACAGGACATAAAGTCCACAAAGTTCCTTGTTAAATAAATGTTCAGCACTTAGGGTGAGCACAACATATAAATCAGTATAATGTGGCCAGGTGGAATATTGTGCTGGGTGCCTTTCAGGCATGGTATTCCATTGAGGTAGCACTCTAAAGTCGGACTCAGCATCAGATCACAATGGAGGCAAATACACACTGTCTCTAGCGCCACATATACATCACACACATGGCGACACATCCATTACACACATGGCGACACATCCATTACACACATGGAGACACATCCATTACACACATGGAGACACATTCATTACACACATGGAGACACATCCATTACACACATGGAGACACATCCATAAATGACCCTAAGGTGTAAGTAGGATGATAAACCTAATGAACTGGACTAAAATGTCATTATCAGAATTTGTCACGATCAAGACTTAATCATTCAGGAAGTCACAATCCAAACTGTCTTAAAATTCAAAGTCTATGTGTTAGAGAAGCATCAGTTATATTACATAAGTTCAAAGTTCAGAGACGGCCTCCCTCTAACATGTTTGTCCAGTTTTTTCATAATTATAAAGTTCCCCAGCCAGAGCCTCATAGCTGTTGTCCAGTTTTGTCATAAAAAATCCTTATTCAGTGCCTTCCTTTAAGATGTCCGTCTTGCTATATGATATAAAGTTCCCCATTCAGAGCCTCCCTTTAAGATGTCCGTCTTGCAATAGGATATAAAGTTCCCCATTCAGAGCCTCCCTTTAAGATGTCCGTCTTGTTATATGATATAAAGTTCCCCATTCAGAGCCTCCCTTTAAGGTGTCCGTCTTGTTATATGATATAAAGTTCCCCATTCAGAGCCTAACTGCTAATGTAAAATGAGAGTCCAGTACAAAAAGAATCTCTGAATTACTTAGTTACCACACAAAGTCAACATCACATCAATAACCATAACTCAACGCACATGACACTAGCATTTCTGAATGAAAGAGAATATCAATCTATGACAAAGACTTAATGAAGTCTCACAAATCAATGGGTCTTTGACCTTCTGATGGTCCAAGTCCAACACAATTACACATAATCAAGATTAAAAATGAATACATGAATTTCTGAATGAAAGAAGCTGTTCTCTACACAACAAAGATTTTGTGTAAAGTCTGACAAATTAAGTTGAGCTGAACTTGAGTATGTCCAGACAATTTTTCTCTCAGAAATTTGTAATCAAAGTCAGGACATATGCAGCGTCAGACAAACACATACACACAAGCATATATGGAAGGTCAACAAGTCTTCCTTATGAAGATTAAAAATCTGAACATATTATTTACCCAGCAGGATTTCTTACCATAACACTTTTGACTTCAAATCAAATTATGTCATCGGAAGAGTACACCATGGATACCAGAATAGCACTTGGAACCAGACACAGGCAAATAGAAAGGATTACCTCCCCTGACAGAATTTTCCATCCTTGGCTTTCCATCTAATATATATGAAATTATGAGAAAGATTTGAATTTTATTTTGCCGTAACATAATTCCATAACATTGAATTGATCAGGGTATAGTTTCACAATATTAAGAATAAGTCCTTATATTTAGTTAGCAAATTTTCATCAACTTCAGCAATATTTACTTGGGGACATAAAGCAATAATATAAATCTGCTGCATCCATTGAAACCTTTTGTATCTTAATATTG